AAGAGTACACCAATCAAAGACTAAAATGTAACAGTAGGGAAGAATTAGAGCAAAAAAAAAAAAAGAGTAACAAATTATGAATCAGTAAGGAAAGAGAAAAATAAAATCAACACAAAGAAAATGGATTCGCAGCAATGTCTGGACAAACAGTATGAAGCCTGACATGTTCAAATCAATTATAGTCATCATTGTCATTTAGAGGGGGAAAGGGATAAGAAAGGAGAAAAAAAAAGGACCTGATGGTAAGGTGCATGGGATAAAGACATATGTGTAAATATGGTATTTAAAGGTAAAGGAAGGATCCATAGTGTTAAGAAACAGATAAAGTGAAAGGAAATACATAGTTCTGTTTAGGCAGTACAAAATAAGGGGAAGAAAAAGAACATGGCCAAAAAAAAAAAGAAAAAAAAGGATGGAGGGAAATTAACCGCAGTCATTAGCAATAAAAAAAAGTGTCTCACCAACGTTGCACGTGAATAAGAAGTAGTAAATAAAGAACAAAAGTATGCACGGAGAAGTACAATTGAAATAAAAAAGGAAAAAAAACATTGGATATACACAATACTATAGTGAAAGAATTTATTCAATATTAGCAAATGACATTCAAAAATTAATAGCAAAGGGGTATTAATCGTACCTAAATCGGTCCAAAGACTACTTTAATAGTGAGGTATGAACAAACCAGGCAAAGTTAGAGGCGATCAGGAATAAGCAAATAGGAAAACATGGCAGTAAATGATGGAGGATGAAATGGAAGAGTAAATGATGAAAGATTAAACAAACGTAAAGATAGGTAGTCAGAAATAGAGAGTAAAAGAGCAGAGCAATAAATGGTCATGTGTAAAAGAAAGCAGTAATTGATCAGGGATAAACTGGTGAGAGCAAGAGAAAGGAACAAGGGAAACATATAGTGAAGAATAAATCGATGCAAGACAATAGTCTTCATAAATAAGAAAGGAAAAAGTAAATGTAAACAGTAACTAACCTGTAATTACACAACACTTAACATGGCAAGGTCGGTTTACAGAGCGTAAAAAATCAAAATTTGTGAACTAAATCACAGACCCAATGCCATAATAATTATTTTAAAAGAAAAGGAGTATAGAAATAGGAAGAAAACTAATAGAGGAAAAAAGGGCAGAAAAAGGAACAGAGCACAATGGCCACAAATTTCAGACAATTAGCAAATCATTTAATATTATTGCAGTGAAATGAGAGCAAATGGTGAAGATAGGAAGACAAATCAGCAACATAGGGAGGACAACTAAGCATATCAATAAATGAAACAAAAAAAAATCAGACATTACCCATCTGTAGCATAAAATCAAGGAAGAAAAGCTGCAGGCATGCTGAGAAACATCCAGCGGGAGGTAAAAAAAAAAACTAAAATGCATCAGGCATGAGGAAAATTATAAACATATTAAAATGATGATTATCATCTTAAAGAGGCAGAAAAATAAAGGAAACAAAAAGGAGGGGCAGAAAATAAATAAATAAATAAACAAAGAATTAAGGGAAAAACATGCGATGCAATAAAATCATAAGTGAGGAAGGAAGATAAGTTACAAATCATAACCAATGTCCACCAAGATGAGAGAGAAAAAATGGAAGGAAGAAAAAGTCCACAAAATGCCTCAAATGTTCAACCCAAATGAGACAAAAATGAGCAAAAAAACCAGCAAATACAACATTCCAAGGACGATGACTCAACAGGAAACAATCTGAGGCCAAACGGCCCCTTTTGTAAACTAAAAAAAAAAAAAAAAAAAAAAAAAAAAAACTAGGAGATAAAAAGATACAAATCCGGAGATATCAAGAGAAATCAGAGAAACCTGCAGGAAGAAGATAAGCAAAATGAAATATAAGTAGTCAGAAATCAAAGGAGCAAAAGAAATAGGACTCCAGAAAGAAGAGAAAATAAAAGCCCCAACTTTCAGACGAAAGCAGACCCAGGAAACAAATCGGGTAAAAGTGCATAAAATTCCCAAATTTCTCCAGCCAAGCGACACCAATAAAGAAGAACATTGAGAGCAGAATCTACACTCCGCCTGTAAAAATCAGCCACAAACAAAATAAACAATCATTAACAAATAGGTACATATTTCAAAAAACAAATAAAAAAAATTATAATGAAATTTCTAAATTATCAATGACTAAATAAATTTTTAAGAACATAGCTGAAGGAGACTAATTTATTTAACAAAAAAAAGTATTACACCAAACCCGCAACAATAATCGAACGGAGAACACAAAAAAAAGATTAAGAAGAGGATGAATCAAAAGAGCAAAATAGAAGACCCAACCAAAATCCTCAATGGAAACAACGCAAACATGTGCGAAAAAAGTAAAAATCTCACCCAAATTCCTTAATCAAAAGAGAAAAGAAGGAGAGTAAACATCAACCAAAGAAAGATCAAACAAGAAATAGCAACAATGTGGAAGATCAAAAGATAAGAAGCAGCCGAAGCAAGAAGTAAGCAAAAAGAAAGAAGATGGGAAGCAAGGAAATCTGGTCCAGAAATGAAAAAAAAAAAAAGATGTAGAAGGTTGCAGAAGGCAGCAAATGGAAGAGAGAAAAGTTGCCCTAGAAACGAAGAAAAAAAATACATATGTAGAAGGTTGTAGAAGGCAGTAGAAGGCAGCAAACGAAAAGAAAAAAAAAGTAAAATACTCAATCTGAGTGCAAATGACCAAAACGGTCAGACTAAACCAAAACAAATGAAATTGAAATAAAGGGTAATATAGTAACCGAACATTAAAAATGACATAACGAAAATAAAAAATCAACTGAAGAAATAAATAAAGGTAAAACAGGAAAGACACTGTTCATTGCACTGTAACGTGAACAGTGAAACCCTTCCTTTCTTTTAGTATATGTATAATTAGTGTAATTATGTGACACCAACTGATATAAAGTGTTTTGTCACAACTTTATTCAAATAGTAAACATCGTGCTAAGTATGAGATTATGATTTATTATGACGGAATTTTCATATTAAGGATTCTGGTAAATTTCAATATGATTATGCATGAGAAGAAAAGTTTCATGAAGAATAACAAAAATTCTAATTTCTGTTAAGAAACCGAAATATTAATACAATCATTCGTGACATATGATACAAAAATTCACAAATACTCGTTATTAGATATTTCCCAGTTACAACAAATTTAAGTAACAATAATTTAATTATGCCGAGCAAATGTCATGCAGCCAGTAAAAGTTAAGAGTTACTGATTGAGTAAAATTACACTGCAGAACATAATAACATTTTTTAAGATTCCATAGAGAAAAAAGGTCCACTTTTTTTTTCCCTGGATGTAACGTTTGTCTTTTAACCATTTCTAAGTAAGCTAATCAATTTAAAAACGAAAAGTGGGATAAAATAATTTACAAAAACAAGTTTTTTTTTTTTTTTTTTAAATTGAGATTTGGCATCGTCATCATATCTTTCGGCTTCTACTATTTAATTGATGCTTTTGATTTTTCACTTCTCAGAGAGAGCTGAATGTTTGCTAAAGTACTGCCGAAAACAATTAATCTATAGAGCTTACATATGAGATAGGCCTCAAAGAATTACATTATTCAAAAAAAAAAAAAAGAGAAATAGTAGAAAATAGGTCAATATGAAAAGCTTAAGAAAGTATATAGGTTAATTTTTAGTTATAAAAATTAATAGGTCATAATTTATCAAGTTATGGCTCATAATCAGATAAGTTATGAACAAACTTGTCAAGTTATGATTCACAGCCAGACAAGTTATGGACAATTATAGACAATAACTTGTCAAGTTATGATTCATAACCAGATAAATTATGGACGAAAACAGTAATTTAGCCTATTTATTAACTTATGTAAACTATTAATCTATTAATTTTAATTCATTTTAAGTCTTGATCTATTTTCCCCTTTTCCCCAAAAAAAAAAAAAAAAAAAAAAAAAAAAAAAAACTAGATTATTAGGGTTGTTCCCATGTCATTGTCTCATAGTATAGAGGAAGCCCAAACATTGTTACGTCGAATACAAATGTTGGTCACAAAATTGCATGTGCTCTTTCGTCAAAGTGCTTGTCAAAATTCTTAATTAGTTTGAGATTTAGATCTCGGATCTTAAGATAACGAGACTGATTATGCAATTCCTCATCTGATAGATAAAAATGAAATGGTAGTCCAAGTTTTTTTCTTTTTTTTTTTCTTTTTTTTTTTTTTTTTGCTGAAGAACTAATAATTGAATATGAGGAGATTGAGACCACTAAGCATGATTCTTAGAAGATTGGATAAATTTACGTTTGCAAAACTTTTAGGGATCAGTTAGTGTGTTTGGTAGGGTGGAAAAGAGAGGAAAGAAAATAGATAAGGATTTTAGAAAGAAAATAGATAAGGATTTTAGAAAAAAAAAAAATGAAATTTTAAGTTGTTTAGTAGGAAGGAAATGATGAAAGAAGGAAAATGAAAATTCATAAAGCCCACTAATTTTTAATCCTTCCAACTTTGGAAAGAAAATAGGAGGAAAAAAGTTAGACAAACAAATGAGGTGTAAAATAACAATTTTAACATTCAACATTCATCATATTTTTATTTGTATTGAAATATTATTATAAAATGTCTTATATTTGATATTTTCTTTTCACTTTTCTTTCTCTTCTACCAAATAATATGAGAGAAAATTATTTTACTTCCTTCACCTATGTATTTTACTTCTCCATTCTTCCTTTTTTCTATCCATCCTATCAAACATAGCATTAGTATAGTACTTTCTTAACTAATTTTTAAGAGTTATTCCTCCTCTTGTTTTCTCTTTTTTTTTTTTTTTTTTAGTTATGACATATAATGCTTTAGAAGCAGGAAAGACGGGACCAAAAAAAAAGTAGGAAAAGAAAGTTAACGCGCACTACTCAGAAACCCAACCAAAAAAAAAAAATCCTAAAATTTAACAAGCTTGGAGCCTTGCGAAACAAGAAAGAATAACGCACTTGTAGTCTATGATGTCCTGGGGCCAAAATTTAACAAGACAGAACCCCAATTCTCAAGGATAAGGTTATAGCAAAAAAAATCCTAAAATTGAATAATTGCATTATTCTTTATGCAGAAATAGCACATGCTTGTGCTCAGGTGGAACTCTTGAGACAGTTATCACAAGGATTAGATCCAAACTTGCACCCCTTTTGGTCAAAAGACTCTCCAAAGTGTTTCAATAGTGTTTGTCTTCTACACTGATCCTATAATTTCAAAGGAGAAAAAAAAAATCATCGGTTTTTTGCGGGATGTGGATTAAAAGAATCGAGTTACTTTTATGGTGAATGCAAGAATAACCGAGAATAACCAACTGGTTGATGAAGTTTGCTAACCTTGAGTTCACAGTACTCTTGCATTTTCTGAGCTTGACCCATTGCTCTCTTGAAGTTTTCGCGCTTATATCCTTGCCCATTCCGCAACATACATACGACACGACTAAAATCCTTTTTCTGGTACATTACAATGCATACCGCGGGAAGATTATCTCTTCCTGCCCTTCCAGATTCTTGATAATAGCTTTCTATTGATTTGGACAGTGTATTGTGGATGACAAAACGCTAGATATTGACAGGGTAATTTCTCAGTTAAATTATGCAAAGTCAAAAACCAAGTAACGCCAGATTATCACTATCATGGAATAGTCAAAGACTAGCTGGAAAACTTACAACATTTGGTTTGTCTATTCCCATGCCAAAAGCAATTGTCGCACATGCAACATGGGCCTCTCCTTGATACCACTTCCTCTGAGCAGCAACTCTCTGGGACGAGGACATGCCGGCGTGGTAATGCACCGTCTTAATGATACATTTCTCATTCAAGAATTTTGAAACCTCTGCACATTCATTTCTTGAAAGACAGTATATGATTCCACTCTGATTCTTGAAACGGTCAATCAGGAGCTGTTTAAGCTGCTTTAGTGGTTCTTTGGTCTTGCCAACTACTTCGTATTTCAAGTTGGGTCTGTCAAAACTCCTTTTAAGGACAAGAGCATGGGGGATATTTAAAGCTTCTAATATGTCCTGAAAAGGATCCACAGATGCCTTATTGAATTACTTTATTCCCAACTCTGCAAAAAAGAAAGAGAGGTTGATCCTTACAACCTTAGTACCTTACGAACTGAATTGGTCGCCGTGGCAGTCAATGCCATAACTGGAACATTTTGGAAATTCTGCTTAAGACATCCTAGTCCTCTGTAATCTGGACGAAAATCATGTCCCCACTGACTGGAAAGGACAGAAGATTATTAAAACTGAAAGTAGAATCCATTGTTCAAAAGAAACCACATAATAAGAGTGTCGTAGGTCCTCAAATCATAAAGGCCCGTAAAAAGAAAAATGTAGCAACCAAAACTATGGCCTTTCAACAACACTATATGCAAGTAAACTTTCTCCAAGTCACTCGGTGAGTCAATATCATCTCGAAATCTTAAATAGATTTCTAGGTCTACTTTTAGAACTAGAAAAGATTACTGATAGATAGGGAAAAATTTTAAAGTTCTTTCTTGTTCTCTTAACCCTCTACATTTCCATCTTCGAACGTGTTGCTTTTGCCCAATAAAAACACAGAAGCATTTCATCATTCAAGCACGTGTTCACATTCCAGGCGAGGTATATTGGTTTAATAAAATAAGAATAATAACTGGATGCTTGATCAAGGCAAGGCTAGTTTAACGGAATACCCTCGGTAAATAATTCCAGTGCACAAAACAAGCCACTTATGAATGTGGTACACAAGACTAAAACAAAACATAACTGGTAAATGTGACTACTTATTTTCATTTCTGATCAACATATAGTCTGCGGGCCAAGAAACTGTTTTAAGGAGTGAGGCAGGATTGCAACAAAATAAGGAGATAACCATGCTGTAAATTCCAAAACTAGAACTACCATCGTTTGAAGTTTGAACTAAGAAAACATCTTACCTCACGCAGTGCGCCTCATCAACAACAAACCCTGCTAATTGTCCCTGTGATTTATGTGCAAGCACTGGTTAAATCTCTTAGTAATCATCAAAATCTAATCCTGGTAATCACTATTTTAAGAAATTCAGTCAATAATCTGGAAAGCTCACCTTCCGGTTAAGACATTTCAGTACATCAACGAATGTAAAGTTTCCAGCAATTCTCTCAGGAGTCACGTACAAAAGCTTACATGATGGTTTGTCTTTCCTGGACCAAGGGTACATAACATGAACATGATGGAGGAATAACATAACAAGTAACGATCCATATAAAATCTCCACAGCAAGGCTGCAATTCTAATGATAACAATATCTTCTTATATTGCTCAAGATAGGAAAATAAGCCTGATAAAGAGAAATAAAAACCTTGCCTTAGCTCTTGAAGGACTGCTCCTGCTTGGGACGGGGATTGCTGGGAATTTAAAAAAGTTGCGCGTATACCAAATTTACTGTTCAGTGTAACAATCTGATCCTGAATAAGGGAAAGCAGTGGAGATATGACAACAGTCACACCTTGTTGTAGACTTGCTGGAAGCTGTGGGAAATACACAGAAATGTTATGACATTGAGCAGAGGTGTGTCCTCATTTTCAACTACTCCGAACACAAACTTGTACAATGGTACTAGTTCCAAATTTGTATCACACACGAGCCTTCTACAGATGACATTTTCCCCCCAATTGAACTTGTTTCGACCCAAGTTAATTTCTAATCCAAGCATTTTAGTGAACAATGATAAAAAGAACTTCAGAACTTTTTTCTAGGTCTGTGTCTTATCTCCTATGATAGTAAAATGGCTTAGGAGCCAATCAGGATGCCGTTATTCAGACAAATCGAGGAGAATTGGAGTAGAAACACGTCCTAAACCAAGAGAAATCAACAAGCAAGGAAAAGGAAATAAGGAGCGCTAAGCTCAATTTCATTCAACGAAGTCCCAAGCTGTGTTAACAGCCTCAATTCTCATGCTAAGCTCAATTTCATTCAAGGGCTCAACTCAAGGGTAGTTTAGGCATAACACAATTAGGCACATGACTGACCAAGAAAACCACAAACAACACACTACAGCAAACAAGAAAAAAACGACAGTGCCAAGAATGGCTTATTACAAACAACATGTCATTTCAACAAGCTACATTAATCCCTGCATCATAAAAGACTCAAAAATGCTCTTTATGAAACTGAATAATTATGACATCAAATAGGACTTGTTTGGTTCAACTTAAACTGTGGAGATTTGAACCTTTTTTATTAGAACTGTAGAATCTGAATTGTGGTGATTTTAATTATGATTCAAACCGGTGTTTGGATATGCAAATAAATTGTAATTTAAATTGAAAATAAAATCTGAACTGTGTTTGGATAAAGTGTTGAAACCTGTTATTTGAGTTTTGTAACAAATCTTATAAAACCTCAATGTAAATGACATTAAAAAATATTCAATATGGGTGGGAATTTGTTCCTCTGTTCATTATGAACATATTAAAAAAAATTATCTCAATCAGAATTAAAACGAAGAAATTATAACATTTTTAAGATTGAAATTGAAGAGAGAAAAAGTAGAAGCTGGAACTGTTGAACTGTTAACAACAATTCGGATTGTTAGAATTTAAGGGGTTGGTAAATTCTAAAAATCAAGGGTTTAAATCATTGTTAATGGTTTGAATTGTCCTTCAATTTTCCTCTTTCAAACACCAATTTGAATCCTGAACAAAGGTTTGAATCATAACCAACAGTTTGAGTTGTTGAGACAAACAGCACAATAGCCTGGATTGAACCTTTCAGAATAGCGACCACATAAAAAGAGAATCGACGTGTATTAAAGGTAACTATAGCATTACAATCAAACGAAATACTGAAGTTCATATATAGTTGCTAGATTATTTAGATAATTTGTTGATAATCCATAAGAACATCTAGAACTGAAGGCTGGTGCCATTTAATTTGATAATTGAAAAAAGAACTAACCTGGTAACATAAGCTTTTACCGCCCCCAGTAGGCATAAGAATGAAGCAATCTCGCTTTTCCATAGCCGCTTTACAAGCCTGATACTGCAAAGGCCGAAAATCCCTATTTCCAAATATTACAACATTTGCGAGTTCAAGGTCGTCTAGAGCCTGTAATGAGTCATAACTCAGAGTCTCAACTTCATCTCTCGATATCCTGAGGGACTGATTTCCATTACTTGTTGTCGAAACTGATTCTCGAGTGACACTGCTCTTACAGTCCTTAAACAGATACGAACCATTTAAATACTTTGAAATGGCAACTTCTTTCTTTCTTTATTATAGATTCCGATTTGTGATTAAGCTTAAAGGGGCTCATATAAAGGGCTTCCCAAATCCCATTAAACATGTTGATTGACCATTAATCATTTAAAACACAAATTTACAGATACAGCACAAAATGCCATAAAAATTACAAATTCACTGACATTAAATGCACAAACGAAGAAAAAATAAACGACAATGATGAAACTAATAACAGTTCTTACCAAGGACCCTGGACTCCGAGCAAACCCAAAACTCGATCGCCAATCAGAACACGAGGAAGGTGTGTTCACAGCATCTTTTTTCCTCCGAACTCCCAAATTCGAATCACTGTCACTGGAAGAATCCAATTCCACAAAATTTCTCTTATTGGAAGCCACAGGCAAATTATCATCATCTACGGAATGAACATCACCACTCGCCTTTCGGCCACCATCGATGAGATCTTCGCCGTCAAGAAAAGTTTCCAAATTTCCGGAAGCTTCCATTTCGGCGTCCTGTAAATCATCCCACTCCTCGCTGTCCTCCATGGATTCGGCAAGTGCCGCCAGAAAATCGTCGCCGCAGTGCTCCACGGTGATGAAATCTCGCCCATCATCGCCTAATCACAAAAAAAAAAAAAAAAAAAAAAAAAAACCCTCAAAATATGAGCATTCAATCATAAACCTTAAAATAAATAAAATAAAATAAAAACAGATTTTTGGATTCTGAAATTGAAATGGGGAAATTGGTGGTACCGTAGAGCTGGAGAAGACGATCGAAGCCTTTGTTTGCGGAAGCTTCATCGAAGCCGCATTCGAGAGCCAAGCTTAGCAACCGAGCTTTCTCCAGTTCAAGATCATGATTGGCCATTGTGTGAGCTCCGATTGCTTGCTGGCTATCTCCCGCGCGAAATTCCTTTGAAACCTAAAGCTTATCAATGCGGCGGCGCGAATTCGTTTTACAGAACTTCAAAGCCAAAACGGTGCCGTTTGATTGCTTTTGGGGGCAGTCACGAATAACGATTAATAATTTTTGGGAAAATTAGCTAATTGGCCATTTTTTGACCACTTTTTTAATAAATTACCCCGCTTTTATTTGTTAGACAAATGGTTGAACTTTTTTTATTTTAAGAAAATTACCTTTTTTTTTTTTTTACAGTAGTCAATCATTGACCTAGATCAATTAGGGCTTGTTCTTTTTAGAGTTTAATTTAAGTATAATTTTTGAGTTGAATTTGAGTTATAACTTGAGTTGAACTTGTAACTTGAGTTTGTGTTTGGTTGTGTAAATTTGAGTTATGATTTGAGATAAGAATCTTTTTGAGTTTGTGTTTAAGTGAGTCAAAACTTGAATTTGTATTTAGATAGTATTTTAATAAAAACTCAATGCTGATGAACAATTTTAATAGGGTATATGGGTCGGGTTTTATTCGTCTTTTCGTTGTCAACACATAGAAAAAAAATCATCTCAATCAGAATTAAAACGAAAAAGTTATAACATTTTTAAGAATAGAAAAAATACTGTTCATTAATTTGAGTTTGAGTTTCTGAACTCGAGTTAAAGGGGAAACTTGAACTCAAATTTTAGTCATAAACTCGAGTTTGAACTCGAGTTTAAACTCGAGTTTAAACTTAAAAGAACATGAACTCGAATAAAGTTATAACTCGAGTTGCCTTTTTTGAGTTTTTCACTCAAAAGAACAAGCCCTTAGTTATTGACTTATTGTTGATCTCATTGATTCACAGTTATTCAGTAATTAACTAGTTTATTATTAAATTATTAATAATTTATCATTAATAAATTTGTAATTTATTGATTCAAATTAATTAATTACTCACTAATTTTAAATAATTATTAATTGATATTGATTAATAATGAAGAATCATCAAATTAATCAGTGATAAATTAAAGTGAATAAATGATAGACTGTTATGTCAATCAGTTATAGACTAATTAATCAGTAATTGACTACTAAGTTAACTTAAAAAACCAACTAATTTTATAATTTTATAAAATTTTGACCATTTATTTAAAACATATCTAAAAAACGGTCATTTGCCTCTATACATATTTTTTGTAATGTCGGAAAGTTTTCGCTTTATTTTCTCTATTTTTTTAACGATCGTTAGGTCATTTTAGAGGTAAAAATCAATTATTGACCGAGATAAGTGATAGATTTGTATATTAAATCAAATTTGAAGGTACACATTCGATAAGATCAAAAACTGAAGATACAAATTTAAAATAAACTTAAAATATAGGTTATAAAAATGTAAATATCCCTAAAGAATTATATGGTTCACTTTAAAAAAAAAAAAAAAAGAATGGTCAGAGTCTAATTTTAGACACCAATGCTAATTCTCAAGTATTTTATATCATATTAAAATTAAAACATTTAAAGTTTGCAAGTATAAGCTCCGTTCATTTCACCGATTCGAGTTTCGCTACAGTAAATAGCTCTCAGAAACAGTCACATCTAATTTATTACTACAGTAAATAGTTCATTAGGTCATTTTAGAGGTCAAAATCAATTATTGATCGAGATAAGGGATATGTTCGTATATTAAATCAAATTTGAAGGTACACATTTGATGAGATCAAAAACCGAAGGTATAGATTTAAAATAAATTTAAAATATAGGTTATAAAAATGTAAATATCCCTAAAGAATATTATGGTTCACTTAAAAAAAAAAAAAGAATGGTCAGAGTCTAATTTTAGACACCAATGCTAATTCTCAAGTATTTTATATCATTTTAAAATTAAAACATTTAAAGTTCGCAAGTATAAGCCCCGTTCATTTCTCCGATTCGAGTTTTGCTACAGTAAATAGCTCTCAGAAACAGTCACATCTAATTTTTTGTTACAGTAAAAAGCTCTCACATAAAGTTACATTTCAACTCGAATTAAAAACTCAAATCAGCAAACAAAACGGGTCCTATTTTTCTAACGTAATTCCTGCACTAGGTTAGCAAGTGTATCGTTTATTTTGCAATTTCAAAAGTATATCATACTGTCGGCATTGGTGCTGGGAATTCTTAAGGTTTAATAGAACAACCGTAAAACGAAAAATCAAAGATTTATGATAAACTCTAGTGACGACTTCTAAGAGATTTTTACTGTAAGATGTGACTGTTTATAGAAAAAAAAATAGATATTACTGTTTTTTAGAGCTTTTTACTGTAATAAAACTCGAATTTTAAACTCAAATCTGTAAAATGAACAGAGTCCAAAACTCTGACCTTTTCTTTTTGAAAATGAAACACGAGTTTTTGAAACTTGTTTTTCCACGAGAATGACTTTGATCAAAATATCATTGGTTAATTGGTTTTAATAAGACCGTTGTGATGGCCACTGTCGGTTCTTATATCATCACTACAAATTACAATACAATTTCAAGAGCTGCATTATTGGTTGCATATTTATTGCTTTCTTCCTATTTCTTCGACATCAGGGGCATATATTGTAACAATTGGAGCAAATAATGCTGCAAGTTTCCAAGAAAGAGAAGTAGCAAAATTATCACAATTTGCAACTGGTCAATGGAAAGTTTTGGGAGATTTTTATCATTTGAATTTTGTTAGATAATCAATTACCATTATCTGTTGAATTTTTCAGTAACCAATCAGATTTCATTCTTAAATGTTTCGTATTCATGGCCAAAATCTAAAGAAACACTTTCCATTTCTCGAATAATACAAGTAAAACAGAGTTTTGATGGTAACGGACAACTGTGGCTGCAGGCAAAACTTAGAATAATTC